TTTTAAAAACCTCAATTAGGTCCCCTCGTAGCCTACGTTTGGATAAACTGAATAAGTTCAGCTCCTTTAGACGTTCTTCGTAAGACTTGTTTCGCAGTCTTGGGATCATTTTAGTCATTCTTCTTTGTATTCTCTCCAGCTTATTAATATCTTTTCTATAGTATGGTGACCAAAATTGAATGCAATATTCTAGATGAGGGCGTACGAGTGCATTATATAATGTAAGGATAACTTTTTCAGATTTATAATCAAAAGTTCTACCGATGAAACCGACCAGTTTGTTAGCTTTTTTTACAACGTCTGAACAATGTTTATCTGGTTTGAGGTCGTTACTAATAGTTATCCCTAAGTCTTTTTCATGGTTAACCCTGGAAAGTTCAGAGTTATTCATTGTATATTTAGTGAATTGATTATTGCTACCGATATGCAAAACTTTACATTTATCAACATTAAATTTCATTTGCCATTTCTTTGACCAATTGACTAACATGTTGAGGTTTGATTGAAATTGTAGTTTATCGGCGGTTGTGGTTACTTTACTCGTGATTTTCGTATCGTCGGCAAATTTTGATATTTTACAAGTGAGGCCTTCATCAATATCATTTACGTAAATTAGAAAAAGAATGGGACCAAGTACTGAACCCTGTGGCACACCGCTTTTAACGTCTCGCCAGTTAGATGATTTACCGTTTATGACAACGCGTTGCCTTCTATCGGAAAGCCAGTCTTCAACCCATTTAAGAATATTTCCAGATATGCCGTGTGATTCTAATTTTTTTAATAACCGTTTGTGGGGAACTTTGTCAAACGCTTTTTGAAAGTCGAGATAAATTATATCGACCGCTTTTGTCTCGTCATAAATGTTGAATACATCGTTATAAAAGTCAAGGAGATTCGTTAAGCAAGAGCGTTTGTTGCGGAAACCATGTTGAGAATTATTAATCATGCTATTTTCTTCAAGGAAAGTCACTAGTTTATCGCGTATTATAGTTTCCATTAATTTACCAACTACGGATGTGAGGCTGATTGGTCTATAGTTAATCGGTAGTGTTTTATCTCCTTTCTTTTGTATAGGGGTAACGTTTGCTAATTTCCAAATGTCGGGAACTTTTCCAGAATTTAAAGATTTATTAAATAGTATTGCAAGAGGTTTGCTGATTTGAAACGTTGCCTCTTTTAAGACTCTCGGTGCAATACAATCAGGACCAGGAGTTTTATTTACTTTAATTTTATCAAGTGCCTTAGTTATTATATCCTCAGTAAAGTGACAATCGCTTAAAGGAATTAAGTTAGGTTTAGCTGGGGTTATTTCCTGGATTTCATCGGTGTCTTCAACAGTAAAAACGGATGCAAAATAATCATTTAGTACTTCGGCCATTTCTGATTCTGTATTTATTTCCTTACCGTTTTCTAGGTGGAGTGGGCCAATCTTAGTTGTGATAACTTTTTTATTTCGTACGTAGGTGTAAAATTCCTTGGGGTTAGATTTAGTTTTATTCGCAATATATATTTCGAGATCTTTTTTACTTCGTCTAATCATCTTTTTTGTTTCGCGTCTTAGTCTTTCGTATTCTATTTTATCGTTTTCGTTTTGTGATAGTAAATATTTATCATGTGCCCGCTTTTTAAGTAATAATCCTGCCTCAATCTGGCTATTCCACCATTTTGGTTTATTAATATTTTTATTTTTACGTGGACGTCTCTTACAAACGGGAATGCATAATTTAACGGCTTCATTTAAGATGTTATAAAATTTTTCCCACGATTTATTTACATCGGTTTCGTTTTCTACTATGCTCCAATCAGTATCTGCTAAAAGCTTTCTCAGTTTTTCAAAGTTACCTTTGCGATACATGAAGATAAGTTCTTCGCTTACGTTATCTTTGTAAACTTCGAGATTTATGTTAAAAGAGACAATTTTATGGTCGCTGGTGCTGAATTCAGGGCCCGTATTAACGTTACTTACTAGACCGTCGTTTGTTGAAAATACAAGGTCTAGTATATTATCACCTCTCGTGGGTTTGCTTACGTGCTGACTTAAGCCACTCTCTAATAAATTATTATATAAGTCGTGACCCATATGAGATTTAAGAGAATTTCCCCATTGAGTTACAGGAAGATTAAAGTCTCCAAAGATTACGCTTTCAAATGAATTACTTACTTCGATTATCTGGTCGAATAATTTTCTATCGCTATTATTATTGTGTGCTGGTGGTCTATAAATGAGTCCAATAATAATTTTCTTAGAACGTGTTTTAAGTTGTAAAAATATAACATCTACGTTATCTATTTTTTCAGTTTGCAAGACTGTAGGGTTAAGACTGGCTTTCACGTAAAAAAGAACGCCCCCACCTTTTTTATTTTGTCGTTCGCAACTGAATATTGAATAGCTTGGCAAATTATATTCTGCTAAAAAGTCTCTATTTTCTGTGTTAATCCAAGATTCCGATACTGCAATAATGTGAAAATCTTCAGATGCTGCAAGTGCTTCTAAATCTGAGAATTTATTTCTGAGGCTGCGCGCGTTGAACATGCAAATTTTTAGGCAATTGTTTACGTTAGTTTTTCTATACACGGTGTTACTTACGTAGCTGAGGTTGTGCGAGGCTGGATACTGTTTTTTCTCCTGAAATCAGAAACTTTGTCATTAAGTAGCCTGCCTAAGCGAGCGGCTCCAACTTGATTGAGGTGCAGGCCATCGTCCTTGAAAAGAAAAGGTTTGTTATAAAAATCATCCCAGCAGTTGATAAAGTCGATTCCTTCATCTGTACAAATGGACTTAAGACGGTTATTTGTGCTGAAGGCCCTGTTGAAAAAAGCAATGGGTGCACTACTTCGGGGAAGGATTCCTGAAAGAATTATTTTATTAGTCTTACATTTGTATCGTCGAATCAGCTTCCTGTATCTCTCCAGCAATTCCTCGGATCTGGTGTTCATGACGTCATTTGTACCTGCATGAATAATTAAAAGCGTGTTAGTATTTACTTGACTGGTTGCCTCGTCACAGGCTGCTGTGATGTCATCCAAACGTCCGCCTGGCATGCACAGCCTCTTTCTGTTTGATCGGTTCCTCCCGCAAAACTCCGTTAGTTGGTCTCTGACGATAGAATCGCCAATGATTCTCGTCTCATGATCCTCTTCTTCTTCTTCTTTCATCAGAATTTTAAAACTGTTATAAGTAGAGACAGGTAAGAAAGATTTTTTATTAATTTGTCGTGCACCATTTCTGACAGGGGTGAAAGGTACTTCCCCCTGAATAACGCGTTCAGGTAGACTTGGAGCGTCGTTTTGTCTGGCAGCTACAGCGGCGTAACTTGTCGCCTGTTCTGTAGATGGAGACAAGGGAGGTAAAATTCCAACGTTAGCTGTGACGAACTCCTGTAAAATATCAAATTTTTTCTTAAGTTCATCGTTTTCCTTCTGTAAAAAACACAGACGGCAGACTGTCGAATCTGAAAAGAAATTTGCTGCGAAACGCCCGTCACACACATCACACTTTGGTGACATAATTAACTGTAGTTGGAGAAAGAATTAACAATGCAAAAAGGTTTGGAACAGCTAGACGGATTATCGCTGTCAAAAGAGATATTAGTGAGGATTGAGAGATTAAAAGATTAGAATCTTGAAAGGGTCAAGCCAGGATTATACTAAGCTGAGGTCAGGTCAGAGGAGCAGGTAGACAAATTAACGCTGAGAGGAGGTAAGCCGAGGATTAAGATCTTGAAAGGTTCGGGCAGGTAGACGGATGAAAAATAAAAAGAATAGGTCAGTCAGGTCTGAACTTTCAAGGTCAAATTTTTGAGCAAGGGTGGTGTAGCAATATTACTTTATAGCAACAAAATACAAATATATAAGAAGAGAATTAGTATTTACTGAGAAAATAACACCTACAGACACTAAGATTAATTAATAACAGTAATATACGAGTGAAGGTGGTTAAGGGCTGCACAGAATATTAACACATGAGTTATATATGTAGCACTGATGTATGTGTATGTATAGTCGTGTAAAAATGTTTAAAATGTAGAGACAGCAAAAGATAGCAAGATATATCTTAGTAGAATATGAAACTTAGCGGATTGGCTAGGCAGTGGTGGGTCGAGGTCAGGTCAAGCGAAAGGTCAAGCAATCAGGAAACACGTCCTTCTCTCACGAGTCACGAGCCAGTAGTGAGTGGAGGAAAGGGGTCCCGCGGTAGCGGTCAGGGATTCTGTGGCGTCAGCCATGTTGAGAGATGATGAATAAATGACACCTGAAC